CGACGCAAACCTCTATCTCACACACATTAATAATGAAGAAGACCCAATACCCATCTGCCCCGGTATGTTCTTGGACTTTGTGCACCCCGCAGGTGAGGTGCACATGAGGACTCCGGTGAATGGGCTGCCTGCCCCGGTTAGTTCATGCATCATATGGTCTGATGACGGGGTGCTGAATAGTTGGGCATTAGGGCAAGACAACCCGAGCACTCAGTGCATTGTTGGCGATGTCCCTGAGATCTGGGATGGTACGTATTGATTGCGGTACTGATTTTTGTGTTGCTGATAGGTCGTACAGGTGACGAATCTGACCACGATGGGCCATATAATGGTGTTGAGACTGGGATGCTGAACTGGCACGACTTCGCCTGAAGACACGCCTTCTATTTTGTATATCAGTTGGATTCTCCGCATGGTACTTTTCTCTGGTGTTCGGACTCCATTGGTTTATTAGGATGGGATATCTATCTATATATATTGAAACTGCACTCGATGCGATCTCATCTGCCACCATGCAATTAGCAATTCGACCAGGATGAAATGAGCCGATTCCACACCATGTCAAGGGCTCCCGGAAAGCGCGCATATGCATGAACAATACACAACTGATTGTGCGATCACCTGAATGGCACTGGATCGATCTAACGTTTGTTACTGCTCCCATTCCTGAGAACTACTGCGTCAAAAAAGGAATAACAGCGATGCAATACACTTGTTGCGCGTATAATGCTGAAGCTGTCGTCACCCTACCGCCGAAAATCGAGGACTCCAGGGGACAGTTCGACCGTGCAAAAAATACCTTCAGCTTCTCATGAGGCCACGTCATCTCTGCGGAGCAAGCCTCAAGGTTGCGTAAATTCGGGAGTGCGAGTGCATTGAAAAGAAGGCTTCACATGTTGATCATGACATTTGAGCACGTGAGTTCCAACGAGGGGACGTCCCCACGACCGCCTGGGCCATGGGGCTTAGCAGAAAGCTTCCCACTTTAAGTCGCTGCTGTGAATGCTCAGACACTCTACAGCATAAACTGGGCATATCCACGATAACTTCCCTCCATCGTTTAGTCACCATATCCTGGTCAACGGCATGGGGAATTGTAGATTTGGGGGGGGGGGGGGAACAACCTATTGAATGGCGGTATAGTGCGCATGAGAATATAGGATAAGAGTTCAATTGGTAAGTACCGGAAAGCCAGTCTAAAACCCTCGTGTGAGGTCATGGGGTGGTTAACCTCGTCTTGCTTGCTGACGAGGTGTTGGCGGTCGGTGACGACAGCGCTAACGTTCTGATCTGTGCGCATAACAGAATGGTTTGTATTAGAAGATGTAGAGTGCAGCGTTTCAAGGTCGTCTGACATCTGGTAACCGTCAATATGGGCATCAGCCTATATGCCAGATTCCAGAATAGACATGTGATTGACTGTGACTGTGCCGGATGCTGTAGCAAATTATTAGTGTATCTACCGAGGCGAGATATAATGACTCAGCGCTCACGATGATAGCACAGCCAGGTAGTTTCAGACCTAACTTAGCAGGATGAGTTGCAAAGGGAGAAGCTAGCTTTGAAGGTCGTGTCACGATCTGAATCACGTGCCCTGTGATTGGCCCGAAGTTTGAACTTTGAGTTATCTACCGTACGGTAAGAGAACAACAATATTCCTCGATCCAAAATGACATCCATCGTCAAATTATTTGTCGTATCCCCAGATACTCGTTCCGAGCGTCGTTTCGATCTCCATATTACCATCGAGCACCTCAAGGTTGCGTAGTCCATCTACCATACACATCTTGCAGGACACTAAATGACAACCCCGCATATCGTCGTGACTCGTGCACACAATCTAATGATTAGGCGAAACTAGAGCTCATCACAGGCATCCCCGTTCAGAATCAGAAAATATCGCTGCACAATGGCGATGTCGATTCGCAAGTCGTCGCACAGCTGGATGATGATGCCAAGCCGCTTGGGTACTATAGCGTTCGGGATTTCCAGACAATCAAGGTATTTTCCGTTTAAATTTTGACAAAAGCAATCGTTTATGCACATGTTGGCATCCTTTGTTGTAGCTCGTAGATACGAACCCTTCGACATCGTTTACGGGTCAGCTCTCCGATGTATCACAAGTAGAGAAGTTCGAGCTCAGCGACGACGCATACGCACAACGAACCGGTGATCAATCAGTCATCCCTTATTCTTTATCACCATCTCTGATTCTCTTTATTCCAAAGACTCCGTGCTAGCTTACAAGCAAAGACATAAAGTAGGGCGCTTTGCCCCCCCTTCAACAGAACCTACTCCTGAGCCTGCGGTAAACATCCCCATCGGATCACGTTGCGAAGTGGAATCCACAGAACCGGGCTTGAAAAAGCGTGGTGCAGTTCGGTTTGTTGGTTATACTGAGTTTGCTGCTGGGCTTTGGGTCGGTGTTGAGTATGATGAGCCGATGGGCAAGAATGATGGCTCGTGAGTTTGAAACCTCGTATTATTTGACGATGTTCATTTGGGTATCTAGCCTCAAAGGAGTGCAGTATTTTACATGTCGCCCGAACTACGGGGTGTTCGTGCGCCCTGCAAAAGTCACAGTCGGTGACTTCCCTGTGGAAGAGATCGATTTTGATGACGAAGAAATTTGATTGGGTGTCGACGTACTTGTTGAAATATATCCGCCAAGGATTCACAGTTGATAGAGACCCGGGATGAGGACTTCAATGTGTATTGAAACCTTCATCCCTACCCCGATGCCTCGAACCGGACAGCCTTGGCAGTAAAATGCACTGACTGCGGTTCATGGGGCCCTATTTACTCTAACAATACAATTGCTGTTCGACGTAGCTAGCCGGTCATCACGTTGGTAGAATCCAATTTTGTCTGTCCATTTTAATCAACGATACTGAGCTCCCTCAAGCGTGTCTTTGCAAATTCATCCTTATAAGTGTTCCATATCCTGCATTGACCACAACTAAGCTCGACACGGACAACGAAGGGGCCAGAATACCCACCTGGTCAATTCCTCGATATACATCCGTTGCACTCTTTCGACCTCCTCCAACGGCGGTTTTTCGCAGCGTTGAACATGAATCGGTCGGCCGACTGCTCAGAAGTGAGAACACCCAGCAAGCTCCCATGTTAGAAATAGCACTGACTGACTGACACAATCCGTCGTCGGTACGGCATCAGGCCCAAGTTATCTACAGCATAGATGAAGGGAAGGTCACCAGTCGAGTAAGCTTGTAACTCACAATTCAGCAGACCACGTCCATGGAAAAGCGGAAGGGTGAACCCAAACATACTCTGGAATTTCTTCTGCAGAACATATATCGTGGTGCCCTTCTCATTTGGCATTTGATTGTATATCTGACGAATAAACGCTGTCGACGATACACAGGAACGAAAGAGTGCGTCACTTACATCATTCTCGCCGAAAGAGAACACAGGTACAAGGTCCGCTCTGAAGAAATGCATCGATGACATTTTATATGAAACCTTGTATCAACTCACCCATGCTGGATCGCGATCTTGATAAAACCTAATCTACAGTCCATGTGTCATGTGCCTGTTCGTAATGTTCCGGTATAGGAGCCTACCTGCGCTTCAATGTTAGATCGGCCGTACCAGGTCTTGCGCTCAAACTCTCTGCAGCGCCTCCGACTACGATAGTTATTGCCTGACCTGGGCCGCTGGAAAGAATGTTGGAGCAAGACTCTCGCGAGACGCTACTTATCCCAAGAGCCATGATAACTTCGCGATATAAAGGAATGTGAAAGTTATTATTGAGGGTGAGTAAGTGTGGTTTAATACCGGGGAAAGCTTTGGAGAAGCCGGTGGCTGATAGGAGATATCTGAGACATTGTTGTTGTGGGGAAAGTGAAACACTCGCCTTCGGTAGCGAAGGTGGCGAGTGCGCCCCTGGTGGATTGGTAAGAAGTATGCAAGGATACAGAGGAAATGTCGTCTTACATCCCAATTATGCCTGTTTAAATCACAAAATGAGTGATGCTTAGAACTGAAACGAAACGAAACTACCGTGAGGATGGTACCCGAACACGTATGGGCGGTCAGCGGGTAGGTCGCACTCCTGCATTGACCAAATGGTTGAACATTCCTGACGCAAAGTAGCTCAAATTACTGCCGCACCTTCAGGAGCCTGGATGGTCACGTAAACGGTTGTATCCATAAAACACGAAGACCACACTTACGACGCAGGGTAATATTCTGCAAAATACTGCCAGATCTTCAAGGACCGGAACCATGGAGTGAGCTTGTTTCCGTATGCTGGGCTCTTGTCTATGCAGAAAATCCAGATGAGGTACATGACCAAGAACGGCCATAGCGCCGGTATGGAGCTTTGGCGCGTTGGTTTTAACGAATAAACGGTATGTTGGAAAATAACCGCACGTACCAGAGCACTAGGAACACAAAGCAGGACATCACTAACAACACCGACCACACGGCAACGACCATCATCTGCAGTCTCCTCTTCCGCGGTATCTTGGTTGGCACAAAGCTGGATAGCACAGAAAGCGCAATTTAAGTCGTGGAATAATCAGCCAGTGGCATAAACAAGCTATCTGATACGCACTCGATGCTAGCATGAAGGGCAGCCACAGGACGCAATGGTGCGCCGGTTAACTTCGTCAATCGCCCTCTAAGTGAAGATGCGGAAATAGTTCTTGAGAGGGCTGTCAGATCATGGCCTTTGTCCATCCCTGCTAGTCCAATATTTATTGGGCTCTGTGTTCAGCTGGCGGCTGAATCTGTGTCTTGTCCTCTAGTCAACTCGAAATGGGATGCGTTGCTTCTCTTCCTTGTTCACGTGACCAGATTGACCAATTACTACTTCCGTGCGATACGCACGACAATATATGGTACCCGAGCATCCCTATGGTGATCAGCTGGTCCTTGTAGTCATTTAATATTTAACATCGGACAGTCAGCTCATCGTATCAAGACACCAACAGCCAACCACTCGCTGCTCAGTACTCCGAGTCAGTACTCGGTTCCTGCGCACTTGCCAAAGCACCTGAGTTTGTGCGTAAACGCTCAATGGCGAGTAATTAGGTCAGAAAAGTGGGTGTTCTAGGCTCGAACAACGTGAGTGACGGGTAGTAACTAATTGCATCAAAAATAAATTGCGTATTTTTCTGGTGCCATCTTCAAGATGTTGACCAGAGCACTGGACCTTGACTCGAACGTTTGAACCGTTAGCTTGAAGCTTGAATCACTATACTCCGATGATACCGAGTCGACCGGCCACAGAGCGGAGCGCCAGCTTATCCGAAGGAGTTGGACCGGCTGTCTCGCTCATAAAATTGCCAACTGAACTCTTATCCGACATTTTGATCTACACTCTTCCGCCATTCGATAAGTTATCG